GCTTTCCAGCCCACTTCCTACTAGAAAATGTTTGCAGGTCAAAGACTTTAAACCAGGCTTATAATTTCTTAATACAAGTCCTTTAAAAACATTAGTAGGCTTTTATCTGTTTATTTAGAGTCAATTCCTCATGCCCATATTCTTTCTTGGGCATAATTCTCAAGGCTAATTTATTTCTTTGCTTCTTTGCCTCCTGGTGATTACTTTGAAGATATGTGCAACAAGGAGGCCACATTCTAACAATCTTTGACACTACCAGATAAGTTGTTAAGAAGTTTTACTGGACCTTTGTTGTTAAATACTTTTTAAGTCTTACATTAAATTACTTATGGTCAAGAAAAAGTCTGCTTTTTCAGTCTCCTAAGTTCTGTGATATCTGAAACTTCTCTATTTTTTTTTTTCACTTATTTTAGAAAGACAATTCTGGTCTGGCCTCATGTCTTATTTGAAATATCTTGCTAACAATAGATACTACAAACTAACACTGTATACAGGAGTAGACATTCAACCACTTATTTTAGAAATTTGGGCTCACTGAGTGCGTGGCTGCCTTATATATTGTCACAGGTTCCAGTTTTACCAAATGTTTTGCTGTGGTGTAAGATAGATCTCCAGGTTTCCTCAAGCATAAGATACCTATTTCTTCTGTCTGCCACCCTACCACTGAGAACTGCCACATATTTTCAGCTGCTTGTTAGTACTCTACTTCTGGCAGTAGTTAATGACAGTTAATTTATCATTAGGTAATTCTAGCTGCTATAATAAATATACTTAAAAACACATTATCTAACCATGATATTAGTTTCTTTTTATTCATATAGAGTATAAAATAAACATTCCTGATCAGCAGGCAAATCTCCAAATAGTGATTCACAGATTTTTGGTTTTTCCATCCTTGTTGGCTCTGCCGTCTTTAACACTGTGCTCTCAACAGCATCAAACTAGCAAAAGTGAAATTGCACACGAGAGCATTTTATGGGTCAGTTTAGAGGTGGCACGTGTCACTTCTCTTCATATCCTATGGGCTGGAGCTTAGGCACCAGGCCATGTCTTACTTCAAAGAGGCTGGGAAGTATAGCATAAGTGTGTTCCCAGGAAGAGGAGGAAATCATGAGGAACTCATAGTTTTTCTCATGGTCAGAAAATATTCAACCTTAATATTTCACTGAGTCATATTTGAATGTTATTGATTTTTGCCCCTTTGAAACAATTTTTTTAAAGTTACCATATTGCTGAACTATTTTTGAGTTTTGCAATTAACTTATTAACTACAAGATAACGTAGAATTTATATACTATTTCTAAGAGAGAAATTCTAAATTATTTTGTAGTTAATAAGTTAATTGCAACTCAGATCTTTAATATTTCAGGTAATTCTTTTTTTCTCAGATATTGGAAAGGTCTGAGTTATTCATTCTTCTAGAATTTAAGTATTCCTAATTAATGTCATAATTTGTAAGTCTCTTCTTAAGTTACATTTTAAATTTAGCTGTTTAGAGAATAAAAGTTTTCAACAGCTTTTAAAGTTGGTAATGTCTATAGATATTGAGAGGAGATATAATATAGTAGGTAGTAAGGTGAACTCTGAAGCAATAATCTCTGGGTTCATAAACTCACTTTACACTTAATTTGGAGTTCCTCCAAGAGAGTAGAATCAGTGCCAAAGAATTTCCCCTCTATGCTAGGACAAAGTTTTTCACAGAGCCTGCTCAGTAGAATTTAAGAATTGCTAATCTTCAATAACTACAATGTGTCTCTTATTCTTTCCTTTTATGAATGGGAGAAGATATTGCAGTTATTCTGTCCCTCTTCAACAGTGCATTAGAGATGGAAGTGGATACACGTGGGTGTGGGTGTACGCATGTGTGTGCATGTACATGACTTGAACTTTGAACTGGATGCAATTTCTAGATAGTAATTTGGGTTGGAACACTTGGTAAATAGTGAATATATAATATATGTGGGAAGAAGAATGACGTGGATATTTGGTGATCAGAGAAGTGGAATGTGGCAGAGATTGATCACTGTTCACCAAATGGTTTCCTCTTTCTCCTGATCATTCAGACAAACTGTATTTCCCAGCTTCCTTTACAGTCCAGTGGCCACAGGACTGAATTGTAGGCAATGGAATATGAGCAGAAGGGATACATTATACAGCTAGTTTTGTCCTCAAAAATTTTGCCCCTGAAATTCTTCAAACTCTTTCCCCTTCCGTTGGCATAGAACTTTAGAATTTACATGCTAAAGGTATCAGAGCCATAAGAGGGAAGGAGCATGGATCTCAAATACCATTTAGAAAAGAGCTTCCTGGCAATCATTAACCCTAATCTTAGATTTTGTGAGTTAATAATTGAGAATGAAATATACATGCTGTTTGAACCATTGGTTAGTTATGGCAAATAGTGTACCTAAATAAATACATACTTTGAAAATAAAAAAATGAAAAGAAATCTTAATGTCACATAGTTATTAGGTAATACATTGGATATATGATGTATAAATATATATCAATCTCTACATATCTTCTGCCATCATAAAACCATATCTATCTTCTTATGGCATTTTAAAACTGTGAGTGCCATTTTGTTTTAATGATAGGTGTGATAATTATGCTACTTTGGGAAAATTAATAAAACAGGGGTTCTTTATAGTAAAATTTCAGTGACTTCTCAGAATTAACTATAACATATTACATTTCTAATATCAAATCAAATGTAAATGTAAACAATATAAAAGTCATGTTATTTTTTCCATATGAGTTTGAATTGGAACTTGGTTACCTCTTGAATGTTCCGTGCCCATCGCTTATCTCAGTTACAAGTAAGACCAAAGCAAGCTGATCGAAGGAAATGAATATAACAGTGCCATCAGAAACCTACTTAGATTTAACTCTGTGGCAGAAGGTAGCTCACATAGTCACTGTCTTATTTATGCCAGATAAGTACTCCTATAGAGATCATATTAACAGAGTATCTTGAACACATTTAAAAAATTAGCAAAGGCTTCAGAATTAACAAAGGCTTTAGCAGTAAGTATAAGTATGCTCTAACAACAAGTGCTAAGCACTTTACCTGGCATTTAACACTTAATTCTCACAAGAACCCTCCTGGATACCATGATGCAGATTTACAGAGAAGGATCCTGAGTTGAAAGAGGCTCAATCGTTTGCCTGATCCTCATACACTCAGTGTTGGAGCAGGTATCTGAGCTCAGGCAGTTTGACTCCACAGTCCAAACTTTGAACCACATTCTGTATGTTGAGATTGGCCTTAATTATGAGTTCAGCAGAGGAAAAAAAGGTACCTTTATTTTCACAAAGAAACTCAGAGAAAGTTTTAGCACTTTTCACAAAGGTGAAGAATTAGCAGTAACTTTGGTAATGTGATGTGGTCCACTATTAAAAAATATTGCTTAAGGCATCAATACAAGAACACAATTTTTTTTTTATAGAGACAGGCTCTCACCCTTGCTCAGGTTGGCCTTGGCCTCCCAGAGTGCTAGGATTACAGGCATGAGCCAGTGCGTCCAACCAAGAAGACAATTTTTTTTTTTTTTTTTTTGAGACAGAGACTCGCTTTGTTGCCCAGGCTAGAGTGAGTGCTGTGGCATCAGCCTAGCTCACAGCAACCTCAAACTCCTGGGCTCAAGCAATCCTACTGCCTCAGCCTCCAGAGTGGCTAGGACTACAGGCATGTGCCACCATGCCCGGCTAATTTTTTCTAAATATATCAGTTGGCCAATTAATTTCTTTCTATTTATAGTAGAGATAGGTCTCGCTCTTGCTCAGACTGGTTTCAAACTCCTGACCTCAAGCAATCCGCCCACCTCGGCCTCCCAGAGTGCTAGGATTACAGGCGTGAGCCACCGCGCCCAGCCAAGAAGACAATTTTTAATATAGAATTAAAAATATAATGACTAGTGCCTCTTTTCTCTACCCATATCAGCAGACTTGTTTCAATAAAATTAAAAAGGTATGATTCTTAAAATGTCCTGCTACAAATTATCATAATATATTAAGAAAAAAGATAAAAATAAAACAGATAAAGCATAGTGCCACAGGTAAAAGAATATATTTTCAACAATGTAATGAAAGATGATATGCAAATTATAACCTATACTCTGGAAGCACCAAGATAGAGGACCCAACGTTGGGATTATAAAGTCTCAAAAGAGATATTCCAATCTTCCTTCTGAATAGTCTGAGGGGTAATTTTTTTATAGCATATATCTTCCTTCAACTTGATACCATTTTTTAAGAGGCTGCTATATCTAGACTGTTTTAGGTGGTACAGAGGACAAAATGCACTGGCCCAGGGATTTTTAGTGACAATTTGTAATCTCCAATTGGACATATATAAACTAAAATAATGGATCTCCAACATGATGTTAAATAAAAGACACAGGAACCCAAGTATTTTCACTAAAAAGATTTGACCTTTATACACTGGGGATATTATAAATAGAACCATGTCCACCCAGTCACGATGTGACTCACAGAAATGTGTGGTTGTTAGAATCATGATATAAACAGACAACTACTCCTCTAGACTCCAGCCTCATAGTTATTTTTTAAAACACAGTAAAAGAGCTGGAGGTCCACTGTGAGCAAGGGGCCAGGTGTACATTTTTGTTCCATTTAGTGGCTGACATCTAACTACTTAAGCAAGTAACTGTGCATTTACTTGGATTTGGATGATAAGTTTAAACTCTGAGTATTTTTTAGAGAAATACCTGAAAATTACTAAGCAGAAGGCTCCTCTACATGTGGGTGCCTCTCCTGTGACTGTTGTACCATATGAACTTGGACAACCTGGTTTCCGTGTCATAAGTGGGACCTTGCCCCAAAACACACACTCATCTGAGGGCCCAGCATTGACAGGCAACCCTGACGAAGCTTATTTAGTTATTTCAAAAGAGAAAATGTATTTCTATGTTCCAGCGTTTTCCAGCATTTTAAGAAACAACTAACATAGTTATTATTCTAAGAGACTAAGAACTTACAATCTGACAGGGACTGCACAGAATATTGCACATCTGATGAGGGTCTTGAACCATGAAGTGAAAATTTGAATTTTTCCTTATCCCTTTCCTTTTCTCCATCTTTACTCCGCTTCTTCCCGAAGTCTTTTGCATCTGCTTTCTCTGACATATTAAAAAATCTCAGTAAATCTTTTAACTAGAAAACCTCAAACTATGTTTCTTATTCAGTCAATGTGTTGAGGGTAGCAGGGAAAAATAGTATTACTTAAACATAAAACTATAACTGCAATGTCCCCCAAATTCAATTCCCTTTAATTAGAAACATCACAATAGAGCCAGAAAAAAACTTTGAAAGTTGACATGTACTGTGAAATAAATGCAGTATTACTTATTATCTACTACATACAATTTTGTTTCATGGATATGATCATTTGAATATATTTTATTTATGTAAAATTATGCTGTCAGGCTAATTTTTCTCATTTTCAAAACAAAAACAAAAAATAGCAAAGCATGTACTGAAAATTGAGCCCTAAATGTAGACCCCTCTCAGCTTTTCCTTATTTGGAGCCTCCATCTGAAGAAAGCACAGTTTTCTTTCTCCAAAATATCTTCTTACAGGGCCTCGAATCCAACCAGCAACTACAAACCAACATAATATTGCCCAACATGGCTTGGGTAATAAAGCCCTGGTACCCAGAATTATCCTCATCAGTTGAATTCCCAATCATATATGTGTGTGTGTGCATATATAAGTATATATATATATATATATACATACATATATATACACACATATATATATACACATATATATATGCATGTACATATATTATGTATATATATTACACATATATTATGAAACATGCTTTCCTTCAATTTAAAACAATTTCCCTCAACATTTTTATCCCTAATAAATCTCTTTTAATTCTGAATCAGAAATTTTAGAATTCTACCATTTCATTCTCTGCATTATCTGCTAAATATATAATCATCATTGGTCAGGTGGTTCAATTTTTTAAATTTTCACAAATAAAAACTGTGACATTAACTAGTTATAATATTCCTTAGCCTCCAAAGTAAAGCTGTTTCATATCATAGCTTTTGCAGTAGATTTAACACTTACATTAGATACAAAAGTAGAGAGAGATAACTATAACTTTAAACATATGATGAGGCATTTAACTGGGAAACTTAGGTGCAAAAAATAGTTTATTATCAGAATTTTATTTTATGGATTTTCTATATATATTAATGCAATAAAACTAATCTTGGGTAGCAATATGTGATTTCATGTATAATTTTAAAATAGGACTTTAAAAGCCTTAAAACTCCTATTCAGAGTTTGTTTTATAAATAATATAACTAAAAATAAAAATTATAAATAGAAAAAATTAAACTGTTTCAGACAGAAATTTGGATAGTGTACAATGGAGCTTACCAAAATGTTTTTTTGCCAAAACCCTAAATAAGTGTTGCTCCTCTGACATTTCATCCCACCCATCCGGCAAACCCCCACTCTGAATAAAATTGGCAGCAGAGTTCTGCTGGAGATAATCCTCCCTTCGTTCTGCAAACCTTGCCACATCTATTTTAAATCTCTGTGAGAATCTACATCTTCCACCTCCACCTCACTCTCGGCTCACAGCTAGACTGTCTATAAACAGAGAAAATAGAAGTCTTTTGTCAGAAATCCTCATCTTCTCCTACCAAACGTGCTAACCACCTACACCTGTGTCCATCCACCTATGACATGCGCCCACCTGTTGGAACGGAGGTGCCATCACTCCCCCTGGGTCGGGCCAATCCCTCCAACTAGGCTATGGATCCTGCTCCTTCTGCCTTCACAAAAAATTTACACTGTTTCTTTTCTGTGATCTCAGCTGGATCTTCACAATCATCACTTAAAAATACTCAATTCTACCTCATTAAATTAACAAATATATATCCTGTTTGGGTTCCACATTATTCCCTACCAGCTTCTACTTTGCAGCTCTCCCATTCTTCAAGGCCAAGCTTCTGACAGAGTTGTTTATATATTATTTTATTTCCCTCTTACTTCTTACTCTATCCAATATATCTTCCACCCCCACCACTCTCAAGTGGCCAATGAGCTCCATATCACAAAATCTGATGGAGAAATTTAAGTTATTATTGTAGTTTATACATCAATATTTTACTCAATCTATGATTCTTAAAATACTTTTTCTCTTTGACTTCAATGGCAAAATGCTCTGCTGTTGTTTTTCCTGCTTCTCTGGCCACTCCTTAGTCTTCTTCAGCAACTCATCATTCTGTACCAAGCTCTCAGATATTTGTTTAGCTTCTTCAAGATTCAGTCTCAACCTCTCAAGTCTCCGCACTCTATACTGTTCCATTGGGAAATAGCACTCATAGTTTAATTTTGCCTGCATTTGTCCAGGACTCCCAAATGCATATGACCAGTCTGGGACTCCTAACATGAAAACCATGCTTGATTGTCTTAAAACCACCTCAAATTCAATACATTCAAAATCATTTTGTGATTTCTTCTGATAGGTACCACAATCTATCTAGTTTTGCAACTCAGAATTCTACAAAGCATCTTTGCCAACTCTTCCTATTTTTTACTTCTTGAATAGGAGAAAGAGGTGTTTGATGGGAATTGAGAACTTAATGTTTCTTCCTAAATTAATACTATATTAATTTAGTAGCATCAAAGTAGAACATTGCTTTTGATTTTTAAAGAAAGCAAAATATGGAATAACAATTAACTTATAATAAACATCATCATAAGTTCTAAAGTTCAAGAAGAGAAAGATATTGCTTACATGGTTGTTTTCACAAATACTTAAAAACTGATAATGACAAAAAAAGAAGCACTGGAATAATTCAACAGTAATTGTAAAGCATTTATATTGACCGTCCACACTGAATAACATTTTGATATAAAATGTCTTACCCTTTGGAAGTTTGTCACTTTTGTCTGTACTTTTCAGTGTTGTCAATGAACCTTCGGGTTTGAATTCCTTTCCATCTTTCACTTCTTTTACCTCCTTCCCTTCTTTGCCGTCCTTCGCCTCTTTCCCTGATTCTTTTAATTTGACGTCTACTACTGTTGTTTTGCTCTCAGAACTAGCCTCATCTGACAGTTTAAACTCGGGCAGTATTTCTTTCAAGAGCTCCCACACTTTGTCCATATATCCTGGGCTTAAGAGAAAAGACATCAACATTAATTTCTAAATGATGCTTTTTGTTATTTATTTATTTATTTTTTACTTCACATCAGGACAAAGCTCAGTGAGAGATTACATGTGAGAGGTGAGGAAAATGAGTGATGAAGGATGACTGTTAGTTTTCTCTTTAGCTTAAATGACTAACTACTAAATAGGTAGATGGTGGTGCAATGTACTGAGATGAGGCATTCTAAGAAAGGGGCAGGTTTGGAAGATTGAGATTCAAGAGTTCCTTTTTGGATATTCTGTGTTAGAGATACATTTTTGACATCCATATAGCTATATATTAATAATTTAGGCAGTTGTATATGAATAAAATCTAGAGTTCAGGAAGTGGTTCTTGGATATGGAGATATAAACTTGAAAGTCATTGACAAATAGGTTGCGATTTAAAGTCATGGGGCAGGAGCCTTGTTACACACCATCATTTAGTGCATGTGCAATGGGTGAGGAATTATCCATGAAGGCTGACAAAGAGTAGAAAATGAGATATGACAAAAACCTGGAGAGTGTGCTGTGCTCTGTGGATACCAAGTGAGTCAAGTGTTGCAAAAAGAAAGAGTTGTTCAAGAGCATCAAATACTGGGATGCAAGTAAAAGGGGCAAGAAAAGTGACCACTGGATTTAACAACATTAAAGTCTTTCTTGCTCTTAAGAAGAATTGTTTCACTGATGTTGTGGGCCAGGAAAGACAAAGAGTCAGATGAGAAGAGACAAGAAGATGAGGAGATAAAGACAGTGTGTACCGACAACTCATTCATTAATATTTTCTCTGAGGAAAATAAGAGAGACGGACAGAGGGCTGGTAAGTAACAATTGGTTTCCTTGTGCATCCGTGATTAGTTCTAGCCCCTGAACTGCCTCCCAGCCATCGTTGGATCGCAGGTACCTAGCAGAGACAGGGCCTTCACTACATGCTATTTTGCATTTGATCCCACAAATACTCTTCAACATAGGTAGTACAATCTTAATTGAGGTTTAAGAGGTTGGAAGTTGTAGCAAATAATAGTGTCAAAATTCAAACAGAACCTTCTGAATCCAAAACGCACGTTCCTCTCCCCCTCCATCTACAGTATAAAAAATGCTACTATGAAAAAGACATATTCAAAGACCACAGAAGGAGACTATCTAACTTCTTGGACAATTAAGCTGAAAGATGGGATGACAGTGCTGAATTCACAGATGAACCATGTATCAAAGAAATGTGCCAACAGAAGAGTCATTTCTCCATATGCAATTTCCAGATTTCTAATTTCCACTCAGATACATCATTGACTGTATTTCTGTTATCATAAGGAAAATTAGAAAATTACGAGATTATTTTTTGATTTTCAAAAGTAAAGCTTTAGTAATTGTAGAAAAACAGAAGAGGTAAGATCAACAATTGCAAATAGAGCAGTGTCTCCCTTTGGTGCTCACATGGGAGAGGAGAAGGGAAGGCGCTGCCTGTTGGAGTGGCCACAAAACACATTTTCACCTTATGTGAATTTCACGTGGAAAAATCCAGTAGATAACACAAGTTTGAAAGGTTAGCACCCTAATTCTCCTTGACTTCCATAAAACCATCAACATCACTGGGCCAATTTTTCTATACACTAGAATCCTTCTTAGTAACAGAAACATCCACTCCTCAACGAACCACATACCTTTGCTCACATTGTTCTCCTGCCTTCCATGCTCTTCTTCCTTTACATCCATCTGGCCGCCACTTCCTCCACCATGCCTTTCTTACCCCCTCCCTGCACTCCTGGCAGATGGTGATTGCTTCCATTTTTCAACTTAAACATTTCTTTTTTTTTTTTTTTTTTTTTAAATCATCAAAAGGAGTTTTATTGACTACCTTGAGCTAGGGTCTAAGTCCCAGAGTACCAATATGGCGGCCTCTATTGGGACAAAGACCTCAACTTAAACATTTCTTGACAATAATTTATATATTACTTTATGTCATCCTTTTCATTTAAAATTATATATATATGCTAATCAGCTTTTAAATTTTATAGTAAAATTATAATTTAAAATATTTGAATGATGTGGTAAAACATTGATATGAAAAATCTTGAAAATCATGACACAGCAGATCAATGTGTTTTTCTTTTACTTTCTAGTTGTATTTAGAGAAAATGGATAAATTCGATTATCTGAGTCAGCCTCATTTCTTCTTCTTTATATTTTTTCTCTGTTTCCAAAGGTTGATTATTAATAACCATATATATATCTAGATAATATTAAATAATCTAATGAAAGTTGTTAGAGACAGGAAGGAAATTTTCTATAATTATGTTTCTATCATACATCAGCCACTTTTTATGACATGCCAACCTGGTTGATGGGGTCACTTGGATAATTAAATGAGATAATCCTTTCAAGATGTGGTTTTAAAATTAGAAATAATTTATTAAAATATCTGATGGATAGTAGGTGTTTTCTTATGATCATTTCCTAATATGTGTGGCTATTTAAAAGCTGCTTGTATGTTTCTCTATTGAAACACATGTGATAGCTGTAAAGATTAATCTGTGTATGTTTTATCATAATAAATAATTACTATTGTTTTAATATTTGTAAGTCAGAATTTAAGGATTAAATTCATAATATGTATGAGTGTGGGAAATTAGCATATGCTACCCCAAAATATAAAGGATTGTTGATCTGAAAGCAATTAAGTAAAAGGGGAGACAGGGAAGATCTCTGCCCTCCATCTGCCTAAAAGTAGGACACAGATTTACAAAGACAAAAAGGTACCTGGCCCTTCACCCCCTGGCTTCTACCATGGAGAACAAAGGTTAACCACTGAAGACAGCTCTGGACTCTATCACCTGAGCATGGTAGCAGAGGAATCTGCATTAACAAGCTTTATTAACTAGCCTTTGCCTATCATTTATTTGCCTTCCCACACGTTGTCACCTGCAGAAACTCAAAGTCCTTTTCCTTTGGTCACCTCTCTAAAAATTTGCTTTTCTTTGCTGAAGATGCTATATAGGCTGGAATTCAAAGACATCGCTTTGAGAACTACTTATTCCCTGGGTGTATCCCATGTATATGGTAAACATACATGTTAATAAATTTCTGTTTATTTTTTCTTGTTAGTTTGTCTTTTGTTACTGGGTCAGACCTAAGAACCTATGAGGGCCATTCTTTCCCTATATAAGGAAACAGAGCTTACCTTGAAATTCCCAAGGAACTTATGTTATATAAATGTTATTTTCCCAAACATTTTGTAAAACGTGGCATTTTTTTGAAATTTTCATAATGGCTATGGATATTTTAAAGAAATCTTGAAAGAAAAAAATAGATATGAGTAACTTAATGATCAAACTTACTGAAGAGAAATGACTTCTGGTAACCACCCTGTAAGAGCATGAATGACCGTGAACTCTCCCAGTTCTCTCCTCTCTGCTACATGGATGCTGAAAAAGAAAATACACAATGCTATAGTTACCAAAATTTGATAACACAGAAATATATATAAGAACTCATATATAAGTTCTTATAACATATGCATAACTAATATAAGAATATTTTTAAATATTTTTTAAAATAGAACAGTGTTTTTTGTCATTATGATTTCAGTAATTATTTTAAGATGCCTATAAGGCTGTGTATTAAATCAGTCCTGTCTAGGACAGGTCAAGGTGAGCATTAGAAATCCTTAACAAAATCTTTAGATAACCACAGAGAAACTAGAAACATCTGTTATAGCCTGCCAGCATAGCATAAAGTCAAATGAGGTTGCATCAACCAAATGTCACTATTCTCATTTAGTCTTTTATTTATTTTCTCCTGAGATAATTAGGTCACTTACATTTATACACAGAAATGCCCTATCTCCTTTCCACCCAGGAGTCACAGCTTCCATCAGCCATGTGTCAATGATGGTGTTCATGGTGTTGGCCAACACACATGTCCTTGTCTTCAGAAAGAAATCTTACTTAGTCACATATTCCATATTTACAAATGTGCATTGGTTTTGTTTATGGATTATGAATTTCTATGTGTCTACATATCTCAAAGATAACAAATTTCTGTTGGGATAATTTACAGTCTAGTTTAAACTCTTTGGATAATTATATTTATGAAGTGACTTAGTAAATCTCATAGAAATACTGCTCTTTTCTTTGCATATCTTACATTTATGTTGAAATAACTACTAGGTATTCAGTTTTTAAATGTAGTAAGCCCAACCTCGTATGAGAATAATCACCATATACTATGAAATCTGGAAAGACTTTATAGAAAAATATAAATTGTACCATATGGGGCAGGTTTCTACCATAAATCCTAAGAAATGTATTACACTTAGTATGGTCCTTTATTTCAAGATGGATTTTTAATAAGAATGATAATAATAACTCTATTATTCATGTTGCTATAAAATTCTACTGAACTATAGCTTTAAGAAAGACAAAATGCCACTCCAATTATCCGGGTCATATATTTAATGCTTCATTGGTCTTGCAGCTCTAATTCTCAGAATTTCAAGTTGGATCTGAGAAATACAAACATTAGGAACAATGTTTTGCAAAATTTTATTTTGCAAATAACCAAACATAGTTGCTGCCTGTGTGATACTTAGTGATATTCAGCACCTAAAAAGATCTGGGCTGTGTTTTCATAAAAATCATTGCAATTAAGGGCTGAAAGCTGGGTGAAACAAATTCCCAATAGGAAATTGAGGGCTGGTAAGCAAAAAGAGTTGAAGAGGATGGCAGTAGGAGTGGTTGTTTTTGTTTTGTAGCCTTGGGAGAGAAAAAGGAAGCTGAGCCAAAAGAAAATCCACACAAAGCAGAACTGGCTTCTGACTGACACTGCAGTATTTACAGGGGAGGGATGCTGAGCTCTGAGCCAATGGCTGACAAGTCTGTTAAAGCACGTGGGTGTGTTCTGTTGAGTACAGAGAGGCTATGACACACTGCAGGAGGTGGAAGGGTATAAAATCCCGGTCTGTGCAGTGAATGTGAGAATTCTCCTGCATAGCAATGATACAAAGTTGCCATGTGTTTCCAACTGAAGCATCTAAGCTTTTTTTGCATGGCTTGGCCTAGGATGGAAGGACAGCTTGCAGCCTTTGGAAGTGAAAGCTGAGAGAATAGAACACAACAGACATGTCTCATATATGTTGGCGCACAAGTCATGCAGGAATATACAACACAAATAGATTTTGTAAGAATAGCAAAGGAAATGTGAATAGTTTTCATCATGAATCAGTGATCAATGTTACCAAAAACATGAGGAACACATCAACAGCCTTTAGAAGAGTTCATGGTTTTCAAGATTATTAAATTACTGCTACATGTACAGAATTTAAAACCATAACTGGATTCTAGTACATGTTATTCAGTATTTAATGAACCAATATTGTTCCCATACAAACATTTTTTCTCTCATTAACCTGAAACATTATTTTTCGTGATCAACTTTTTATTGATAATAAGAAAGAATTTAATATAGAATAATTTTGTGTATTTTTTCCTTGGGGAAATTTTGTCTTATTTTTGGCTAACCCAATATGTAAAATCAGTGGCTTTGCACATGTGTTTTTATTCTAGAAAGTTTACATTATTTGGAAGGAAGTTCTCTTTTAATGGATTTTTAAAGATAAAACTATGCATATGTATGTATAGTTGATGTTATTTGCCTTTTTTAAATATAAGTGAGTGATAATTTCTCACTACTTACTCAACATTTGCCAGCTTAATGATAGCTTTAGACAAAAGCATTGGCCAGAGTTCAAATTCATAGGTTGTAGCTGGAAGCAATAGATTGTTATCTTCATCAAAAGGCAGAAAGTCATCAATAGTTATCTTTCTCCAGCAACCCTAAAAATAAGAAGAAAGAAATGTAATACTGTCAATAATTTATAACATTTTCTCTGATAGATTATTGTACACTGCTGGCATTACTATTTATTATTTTATAATTTTATTTAAGCATCTCAACATTTAAATCTGACATAATGATTTTCAATACTATTCTGGTTGAGCATTTCAGTTTATCATTTTATTTGTTATAATTATAGTATATACATATCTTTTTCAATACTGTCCTTATTTATGAGATTTTGTGAGTAAATGCCTGGGTATGTCCTCCTATGTAATTCAGTAAATTAACTTGTTTCAAATAGCAGAATCAAAACATTAGGCAACCATGCATAAGCTTGGGCATAATTAAATAACTTTATATAGTCATAATACAAATTCTCCAAATATAACTTTAGTAATTATTGCTAATCCTGATATGTGCTCACTGATCATGCACTACCAATTCCCATATTACTTCCACTCTTAATTAAAGATTTAATTTTTTACATGAAGTGAATTAATATCTTATTTAATAAAATCATTATGTATTTACCTGTATGCATATTACTTCATAATTAAAATCATGAAACAAATGTTAACTTTAATGATTGTGAACTCAGATAAAGACTTTTTCTTTTACTTTGTTCTTATATGCTAAGTTTTATTATGAACTCATTCCTTTGCCCAAAAATATTTTCAGTGATTATGTCAACCATTGTGAATCCACAGATCTGCATAACAATGGCCAATACCATTGAATTACTTATAGTCTACTGGGGGAAGGGACATAGGCAAATGACATAAACTACAATGTGTTCAAGGTAACCTAGGACCAAACAGCAAAGTATGATTAATTGTGCCAGAGGAAGTCTTTACAAGAAAGTGACACTTGAATTTAAGATTAAAGGAACAGCATATTTTCCCCAGGTAGATAAGAGCAATAGGTGAAATATATTTTCTTTGTATGACACTTGTAACACTGAACTTCATGTTCCTTTTTTTAGTTGTTACATATCTTCTTTCTTCCTTAATAGGTGATGCAGATCAAGACAGAGTTAAAAGCACAGGTATTTAGCCACACCCTCTTCTAATTTCAAAGGAAATGCCAAAAAGAATACACAGAGAAATAGGCCAGATGCAAAAGGAAAAATACTGTATGATTCAAAAATACTGTATGATTTGGTACTTCTTTGAAGTACCAAAGAATGGCAAGTTCATAGAAAGAGAAAGAAGTTACCAGGGACTGGGAGGAGGAGAGAATGGGAAGCTATTGTTTAATGGGTGTAGACTTTCTGTTTGGGATGATGGAAAATTTGAGAAATAGATGGCTGTGATGGTTACATAACACTGTGAAAATACTTAATGCTACTGAATTGTACACTTAAATGGTTAAAATGTTATATTATATGTATTTTGCCACAATAAAAAACTTGCAACAGGAGTTTCCTTCTTATATTCTGATTTTCAGAAAATTATTTCAAAAGGCCTACTGGAGTGCTATGAAGAAAGAGTTTTAACCAGCCATAAGAACTTAAGTCAGAGCAGTTCAACAAATATCACCTGTTTCTATTACAGATGATCAATGACATTTTTCAATTAAGAATGCTTTCATTACTAAACATCATTGAACTGTACACATTAGAGAATCATATGGTATTTGAATTATAACTCAATAAATTTGCTGCCAAAAAATACACAGGTATGAATATTCAGTATTATATTTCTAAAGCATAAAAAATACACAGGTATGAATATTCAGTATTATATTTCTAAAGCATAATTTCTAAAGCATTACTAGACTTATGACAATTTTCTTACCAATATTTTTATTTCATTGATATTAATACATTTGTTGGTTGCTTCCTTAAAATTTATAAAGAAATTAAATATTTTGTATATGCATATATTTCTGTGTATGTATGTGTGTGTGTGTGTGTATATATATATATATATATATATATACTGAATGTTTGTTTTTCCCCAAAATTCATATGTTGAAATTCTAACATCCATTGTGATGGTATTAGGAGGTGGAGCCTTTGGAAAGTGATTAGGTTATGAGGATGGAGCCCTCGTAAATGGAATTTGTACCCTTAATAAGTCGCCTCCAGAATGCTGCCCTTCTGCAATGTGAAGTTACAGTGAGAAAATCGTTGGCCATCTATGACCCAGGAAGCAGCCTTTCACCTGACACCAGATCTGCTGGTGCCTTGATCTTGGACTTCCCAGACTCCAAAACTGAGACAAATAAATTTCTGTTGTTTATAAACATCCAGTCTATGGCATTCTGTTATAGCAGCCTGAATGGATCAAGATGATATAGATAGATATAGGTGTAGATATAAATGCAGATTATTTGGGACATTATCATAGAACATTGAATTTTTTGTATTTTGTATTTTTATTACTATATATAAATGATGCATTGACTTTTTAAAATTTTTTACTGTTAGTGCTGCATAATTTATTAATAAAAGACCATTAAATTGTTTATTTAGCATGCTTATAAAGATGCTAAATGCCTCTTAAATGCCTCTTTTGTTAATATAAATATGAACTACTAAAATACTTTAGAATATAACCATGTTCAAATTTTAATATTGTCCATACTTGAATTCCAGGCCAAGATAACTGAATGACTAGATACATTCATACCCTCTTCCTCCTATGAGCATGCTGACAGGATGATAAAATTTTGTTTTGTTAAATTAGAAGCATAAATTACAGTTATAAAAGACCAACAATTGAGTAATGAGTCACACAGGATTCAGAAAATACTCAAAAACAATGGTGAAAGGAAATTTTTCAGAAAGACAAAACTGTAAATGAAACGAAAGTTGGAACATCAGAATAAACAATGAGGAAAGAAAAAATATTATTTGTCAATGAGAGAATTACTTAAAATTTTAAAAATAAATAAATATATAAGCAGCCACTAGAAAAAAATATATACACAGAGACGTGTTCAAAAGATAGATAAATCAAAATGAAATCCTAAAGAATGTTCAGTAAACATGCAGGAGTATAGAGGTAAAGAATACAATAAATACAAATTAATACAAAAAATGATAGACTTGATCATAGATTATAGACTTCAATAATAAAATTACAGACTTAAATCCCAATATATCAAATATAAATGGTATTTACACACAAAATACAAGAGTAACTTGAATATACTTATCAAAATTAGGAATTTGCATGTAGTTAGCATATATAGAAATCCTAGAAAAAATCCATATAAATGGACAAAAAATATATATACACAAAGATGTTATTTTTCAGCATTGTTTGTTGTAGTAAAACACTGATCATAACCTAAATGTCTATCAAAATAAAATTAGCAAACTATATATATTGATTTATACATCCCTACAATGCAGTGCAAAGTAGATTGATATATATTAGCATAGATGCCCATGGCTAGGGAAAGTAATACTTTACAGAACAATTATTATTATATGACCCCTACTGTTATAAATTATATATAGTAGGTTTACATATATTTGTAGAAATAGAAGAAAGTTTAGGAGGATATATGTAAATCATTTACTAAACAGGGTAGAATTACAGGAAAATTTCATTTCCTACCTTGAACATTCTAATAGTGTTTGAATTTTCTTTACTATAAGGATGTATAAATATTAATAATAACAAAAGAAAAATAAAGCATTTCTACTTTGAAAGAAAGTAATTGAATGATAGAAAAATAATTTGTAAAAGTTTATATCTTGAAAACATTATTCCTCAAATTTAATAAACAAAAATGTTACTGGATGAGACACAGTTTACTTAAATGAGGGATTCTGGGCTCTACCCCAGAAACTCTGGCTCAGGAGGTCTAGGGTGGGGCACAGGGAGCAGGTGTTTGAGTACCATAGGTGTTGATGTTGGGAGACATCTGCCCCCCACAGTTTAAGAAACTCTAAATGCTACACTAATGTTGTCCTTAAAAGTCTGAGGGTCAATAACAAATAAAAGCTAATACATGTTACACTTGATCTTAGCCAAAAGGCCAAGAAGCGATATACATTTTTATATAAATATATTGATGGCAACTGGAAAAAATTATTGGTCCCAATATTGTTAGGGATAGAAAAACAAGTGATAGATAATGGAAATCAGAAAAACAGAAAGGAGAAAGCAGTTACAGGAAAACAATAAGGAGGAAATGGTTGCAGAAAAATAAAAAGAGGGAACAGTTCTTTCGGTCTTAAAGAATGGGATAATTAGGCCATGGAACACTGACCACCAGTCAGAGAATGGAAAGAACACCATAAATAGGTTTTGACACTTTCTGTGCCACACATATATTAGAAAGAATGACTGAAACATAACCTTAAATCATGAAGGCATGAAATGGATCTACAGTGTATGGTACTATATCAAGCAGTACAAGGTGACAAAGCATGTTTTTATGATCACGTTTCCCAAATATTTTCAGGGAAAAGCAAAGGAGAGACAAGTACAAATACTTAACTAAAACTGGAAAATAAAAAATATCAAAACTTAAATTATCTGTGTCTGGAAAGGGACAAGAAAGGAAAAAAATATATACATAGTTTATCGTGTCAGAAATAATTTATTCAAAGGCATTACTGATGATAATATGCACACAGGCATTGATTCAGCCCTACTATCTGGGAATTAGGTAGAAAGACATAGAAATTTCTGCCCTTAGCCCAGAGAGAACAGATTTCTACCTACCAGAAATCCAGGCAGTTGCATCTCTATCACATGCCTACCAAAATAATTCCTATGGAACCTGTTGTATTTCAGTGCTCACCTGCTGAACAGCATCCTCACAAATCATTCTCAGATGAGACCAGAAGGGAACAAGAGAAAGCCATGAGATTTGGGGTCTGGTCTCTGGCCACACTCTTCCCTAAGGGCTAACTTATCTAAAGAGATGGGCTAAATGGTTAGATCAGATTGAGATGCCCAAAGTGGACTAAATGCATTAAAAAAAAAAATCTGAATCAAGTATTTTTGGGCTTGTGAGGAATCAGTAGAGTTCAGGATACATAAGTTACATTATCTTTGCAAAACAGAACCTTGTATTAATAAATGTTTGCCCCTATCCAGAAGGAAGTTTGAAAAGAAGGAGAGATGTACTAGGAAGTAGAAGGAAGGGGGGAAGAAGGGAGAGAGAGAGAGAGAGAAAAAGAGACAAAGAGACACAGAAACTAACAAGGTTGGTTCAATGTTTTGAAATATAATACTTTTGACTTCCCTCCCACTCTTCCTATGTTCACCGTCTTTGTACAACACCTCAACACCATCCACTGGCTTTTCTCCTTTCTTAAAGCCACACCCTCCTGCTCACTCCTCTGCACACATTTAAAACCCTCAAGTCTGGTCCACCAAATAGGATTCTTGGTTGGTAAATAAAGAAGATAAAAGTGCTTTTCTGTTTTCTCTCCTAACAAGGTGTCAAGGTTAATTGTCTTGATTTACATTTTTAAAAAACAAAAATCCTATTTTAGATATTAGAGGCTACATTTACCTTTTTGACCTTTCCCTTCCCATTATGATGATCCTAATAACTTCTAATCACTGGCCCTTCAACATTCCTCATCCAGGAGGATAGATGGCTCAGGCCCATTACGGGAAAAGTCATGCTCTTAGAAATACATAATGGCATTATTAACTTTTTATACTCTTCCCATTCCTTCAAATGTTCAGATAGAACATTCTTTCCCAGTGACTAGGCCCAGTAAAAGCCAAAGGAGTTTGATATAATCTAGCATTATTAAATGTGGTGTGAGTCTATTTTGCCATATCCAAAAGGGGCTTTGGATTCTCTATTTGCATTTGCTACTCTCCCATTTGCTTCCTTTTTAGGCAGAGGTAAAATCTTTCTGCCTCAGAGTAAGATTTGTTAACGTGAAAACAAATCTCAAGTTTAGGACGCAGAACTGATGGGCTCAGGCCCCTTAGCTGCAGCAAAGGCCAGGAGAGAAGCATTGGATGACTCGCCAGCATTGCCACCTGCCAGTGATGCTGCCACTACATCACAGAGGGAAGAGGTAGGGGGAAGCCTTGGGCATCCACCTGCTTGCCCAGCTGGCCTCAGCCGGACAGTGAAGAGGCAGCAGCAGGACCAGTTTCTGCACAGAGTCGTCATGCCTCAGTAGTCCAGGCAGGACCAGTTTAAAAAGCACGTGGGACCAGCATCACAGGAGGAGCTACTGTGTTTCTTATTGCTCACAAATTACATACGCAGGGCAGTCTCCCCCAGCAGCTACACGATTGATATCCTATATAAACTGAATTATCCTGTACTAGCCCAGGTAATGGTGTGCACAGCAAATATATTCCAATATGAAAGATGCATGAATTTTCATGCAAATGAACTTGAACTTACTTACCATCCAGAAAAGTTTCACAACATACTTTCCATAGCTGTTGAACAAAGGCATATGGCCCTTGACAGCCTTGCACAGAGAGTATATGTGTTCCCAGGGCTTCCAGGGGAGAAGAGGGGGTTCCCCTGGAGGCCCTTTAAAATAGTTGCTCAAAATCCCTCCATTGAATATCTTCCACACTGCATAGATTTCGCTGATAATCCATCTCATCAGCTAGAGAAAAAGTGTTAGTGTTAATTGGTTATTTTTCACAGTTGTATGTACAGTAATTTAGGAAGAAACACAGTAAAAATCTACTTCCAACAGTAATATTAAATTTTACATGCAATGTATTCCACATTTTGATTTCTGACCTATGGAATAATATCACAGGTCTTGCTTTTGTTTTCAGGAAATACAGTCATAATACAAACTAAAATGTCTAATATTAAACACACTCTTAGACTAGAAAGCTGTTTTCCAGAATAAACTGTTAGTGATTTGGCATTGACCTCCATCTGATATTAACCCTCAAATCTGTGAGTTGGGAGGGGGGAGATAGGGAGAGAGAGAGAGAGAAAGAGATGGCTGGGCTGGCACTCCTGCAAGAACTGTTGAATTTTACAAATGAGTGAGCTATTCTTCTGTAAATGTTGAGAGGTTTAAGGAGTAAATTATCTCCTTTATGCAAATAGGACCAATTAGAGAAGTAAAAGGATGTGAAAGAATTAAAATTGTACAGATACATAAATAAATGTACTCTAAATCCTGTATTTTATGTGTCGATCTGTGTAGGTAGGTGCCAACATGCTCTAAGTAACAGGCGGCAAGCACAGTGGGAAGGCGGCTTCACAGCAGAAACAGAGACCAGGATTTGAATTCTCCTTCAGACCCTTCACAGCCTTCTGCTGTTGGGCAAGTCTCTTTAGCCTAAGTTGCAATTTCTTATCTGTAGAATGTAGACAATAGTATCTACTTTTTCAGCATTTTTGTGAGGAATAGAAACAATGTGTAAGAAGTCTCTGGGTCACAGTGCGTGTGCAGTAAAACCATTTTTACCAGGATGAGATTTTCTGAAATATTCATCTCATGTTTAATGTACTGGCTTATAAGGAAACTGAATACTTAAGACTGAGCTCATAAGATTTATGTTTTTCTTAATTTAAGTTATCTAAGAAATTCTTAAAGTTTGGTTAAGTCAAAAAAGTTTCTAAAGCAGCTATCCTCCTATATATTTGGAAATTTTACTGTAGAATATTGTATATGTTTTTCACTTGGGAAAGGAAAAGCTAAAATTTGTGTAGGTTTAGGATTCATAAAATAGGTATATTTTAGACTAAAATATACTATATAAAAATTCAGAGATAATTTCATACTGATTAGTATAACTTGGTTGGAGAAATAAATATTTTGATTTTAATATTGAGCAGTACATTAAAGACAAAAATGACAACGTATTTGAATTAATAATGACTATGCTGCTCTTCTCTGACTGAGTCTTAGGAGAAAATAATCAAAAAGCCCTTGTTTCAAATTTGACTAACTTAGGGGAGTGGAATAGGCCTGCCTGTAATGGATCAAACCCAAAGCAGGCAGGTGCAGCTGCGGGAGATGGGAAGGTGGGGAGATGGGAGGTCAAAGGTGAGAGGTGGGGAAGTGGGAGGTGGGAAATTATTGGGATGCAGTTGGATTGTAATACTTATTCCAAATAAGCAATATGTCTATGTATATGAAATTAGCAAGTTGTACATCTTAAATATATATACTTTTTAATTGTCAGCTATACCTCAGAAAGTTGGGAAAAATTACTCAGTTATACTCAAACTTAAAGGTGAGCAAGGGAGAACTGAAATCCACTGTCTGGGAATTGTTGAAGCATGTCTGAAAGGCATTCTGCAGTCAGAATTTAGTTCATACTTCCCCACGTACCTCACTGCAGAGTAAATGTTCATTGGCTGAAAACAAGTCAAACATGATTTCATTTTTCACAACTACTGGAACCTGAAATACAACAAAGTATATAGATAGATTTTACTCCATACAAAAAATAAAAGAAAAGTAGCTTAATGAAGCAGTTTTCTGTACTGGAAGTAGGCCAAATCTGATTTCATTTCTCACATTCAGGAAAAATGAGAAGAAACAAAAAATACATTATTTCCTAAGATAATTCTTAGAGCTGTATGTGACATTAATTTAATGTAATGCCATTAAAATATAATATTTTACCAGACAAATAAAATATTATAGCATATATTACATATACAGATAAACTTAGCATGCAGACACGTACAAACTGAGAGTTTAAAAAGTAGTTTAAAAAGTAATTTAAAATAACCACTCAAGTTAAACCTGGGAAAATATCTTCATTTTGGATGAAAAACACTTCCTATGACAGCTTTTAAAAATCTTGTCCAACTTTAAATCCTGTTACATTTTAAAATTAATTTAATGGTCATTATTTAATTGGTATACATCTAAATCAGGTACCAATAAATAAATAATATAATAAAAATAATAGGGAAATATGACATTTTAAATGAACTACAATTCATGTTGAGTGTATATGTTTAAGATATCAAGTTAACATGAAAATGGTTTTCATTACGGAGTTAAACTTTTATGAAAGGTAATTCCATCAATTACTCTGATTCATCTGTACTGGTCTTGACCTAAAACTACCTAAAAAGCCTAAATCAACTCAGCTGATTTTAGGTTATAAACATAGTTTATTCTGTTTGACTGACTGTGATGAAATGCTTCTAAAATGCCCATACTTTCAGCAAGTATCAATGTGCAGTAGAATTGATTAATTATAGATTGAATAAATATTAAATACCTAAAGTTTGAAGCATTATACTTATTCGGCATCTACAGACAGATGAAAAGTAGGAACTGAGTTTGTAAAAGACAACAAATATTAAGGCAGAGAGGTCTCTACAATCGCATTTCAGCATCTTTATTCCCTACATCTGTACCTGGGGCTGGGTAAATCTGCAGATATCTTATATCTGTTCAATATAAACAATGTTCAAGGATCTGGGCCACTAATTTCTATTTCTCATAAATAAATAGATCTAATAAGTTACTCTGGGATCAGAACTTATTACCCCTTGATTGGAATGGCCCATGTTGATTCTGATATCTTACATCCAGAATTTCAAGATGTAGTATAACTTGGTTTTTCTAGATCATATCCTTTGATTGTATCTTTTGCTTAGAGAATTCTAGGATATATTCTAGGGTGATTGTGTTTTTAAGTTGTACACTATAATTATTTAGTGATTCATGAAGTCAATTTAGTGAGTGGGGTCTAAATAAATGGGATAGATATAATTCTATTATAATGTGGTATATAATAGAATAATAGGTAAATCTCATACAGATAGGTCATTATTGTTTTGTGGGATTTTTGCTTCAATTTTATAAATGTCCATATTTAATGAGTTTCAATGTCAAAAGTAGTTATCACTGTGGACCTAGACATTAAAGCCTGAAAAACACTATTCTAGGATTTTCCTAGTAATACTTATCCAGACTTTCAGTTTTGGTTGTTGTGGTCCATACTCCATCGTGATGGATCAAGAGAAGGACTCAGTGCAGAGGAACAGTAGCAGTATGGAGATGGATGGCGCAATTATGATATATGTAGGTGAAAGTATCATCAACAACAATGGATGAATTTATTTTTGGTACAAATATATCTATCAAAACTAAGTTATCTCAAGAAAAAGATATGGTTCTACTTATCCAAATTTATAACACTCCCACATTATGAAATTCATATTCTTTATTTGAATGAAATGTAAACCATGTGCTTGTATTGGGAAGAGACTGAATATTGTTAATAACACATTAATATTAAGTACATTATATTAACATCATAGAGTTTATATTCTCCATGTTAATGTTACCTAACATTATAAGTCATTTAAAAGCATGGTTTGTGTATATTTGATTTATTTTATTTAAAATGTCTCATAAATAGGCATTCAAAAAATACTCTGGTAGGCAGAAATATACCTTTTTATTTTCTCATTTCAGTAAATCTTTTTGGATTCAGATTTATCTGATTTTCTCCACTAGCAATAGTAGTTGGAAAATAATGGTGGATATATTATATTGTCTTGCATTAGTGGCTAAAACTTTTAGGAATAAAATCACTTTATGTAGAGACAGAGCTTTAATAGATTTCACAAGTGTACAAAAGAATCAGCTCCATTACAACCACTTGACTAGTTCTAAATAATTTAGTCTATTAGCTTTTTATGCATTAAATGAAAGTTACAGGATATTCAACAAACGAAAAAAAGCCTTAGTGATAATTGGACCCTTGGAAAAACCAAATATGCTCAAAGTAACATAGCTGTTAAGAAGCTATAGACCAGTGTGTCTAAAGTTTTAATCTATATACGTGCTACTTAAAATGAAGGTTTCTTGAGAGATGTAGCAGTCAGTATGCTTCAAAGGGTTGGGCATGGAGTCCAGATATGAAGGTGACCTCTGGAAAATGCCTCAATAATCCCAGAAATATAGATATCAAACTCCTTGGGCTGGAAAAGCAATGTTATAAACACTAGATAAAATAGACCTCCATGTCATATAATTTTGTACTAAGAAGCAGAAAGGAGAAAGTATGTCAGTCAGAAATTAAGGAATAATTTCACGCAACATTTCAGGCTATAATTCAACATTTTGGAGAGAAAAAGAAAACTCAAGACTCTAAACAAAAATTCAATCTAATCTCTTGGAAACTAGTACAAGAAATATTTAACTATACTGATAAACATTTCTGATTTAAATGCCAAAAAGCAATTACGTTTTCTTGCTGAATACCACAAGAAAAAATTACTCTAAATCATTTAAAAAATGCATATTTTTATCACTAGAGTATGACATCCCCATAATTAATAAGTATTTTGCCTAATAGTAAAAAAAAAAAAAATTCTTACCCCTTGGATTAAAACATCCTGTGGACGTTTCCAGGAATAAATTTTCAATGATGGCGGTAACTCAATCTTTCCTTCAGGGTCTTCAAAATAATGCTATATAAAAATAAATCAAGCTTTTTCTCCATATGGGTTTATTAAAATAAACATAACTCAATCTTCATAAAAACAAATCTGTGCATAAATTTGATCAATCAATAAACATGTGTAGAGCAATTTGAGTGCTTGTTCTTAGAGCTAATTCATAGAGTATTTGGAGACTACTGAATTTAACAATACTGCATATCATTAGCAGAAGGTGGATGGTTGTGTAGCATTTTAATTGTAGAGGAAGCAGCCCAAACAAGCATGAGCTACTTTGGAATGTAAATTAGGTACTGGGAAAACTATTTTGGATGAGCCAGATATGGCCATATTTTCCATTGAAAAAATTTTTTTTAACTGAGTGGAGAAGATTGAGAAATATTTACTTAATTTTCAACTGTTAGAATCACAAACAGGATTATATATAAATAAAACTTGGATCTTTGACCCAACTGACTTTCATTTATGCATTTTTAAAATCTTATTCTTTGGAGGTAATAATTGATGCTGTACATGAAAATGTGTGAAATAATACAGAGTTCCTGTATTCTCTTTCTTGTTTCTCCAATGGTAACATCTTATGAAACTGTAGACCAGTATCAGCAAAACTCCAAGGACAACTGCTATCATTGTAAACTTAAGGCAATTAATCTTGGTAAAATATGGATTTTTCAAATCAGGGCTAAGAGCTACCATGCTACCCCCTAATGGAGATGCAATCACAAGGGTTGGACACTGTTTACCACTCACTCCAGTGGAGGGGCTATTGCTTTGTGAGCTGAGAATGCTGAGGCTGTGGGACAGAACTGGGATGGGGAGTCAGGTTCTAGCCCAGATGTTACCACTTTGCACTGTAATTTGAGCTAGTGCTCTCTGACCTTTGAAAGCTATGGTGGCAGAATAGGATATAGGTTAAGGTTCTCAAGTGTCACGTGCCATTGGATAGCCCCTCTTCACAGCAAGAATTGACTTTGTGTTTCCCTAACCATGGCTCTTGATCCAAGCGCCACAGTATCTACATTGGCATCTGATGTTCAGCCAGCCTGATTCCTATTTGCTGCCATCAAATAAAATGGACATCAGATGACCAACACACTTGCTACTGCTCCAATCCCTCTGATTTTCTTCCAATAAATGTTCTTCCAACACACATGCCCTTGCTTTAATAACACTGATCAATCCCAGAATTTGATACCCAACCTTCCAGAGATCTGTAAGATTTTTTCACAGTTCCCTGAAAAAAGCATGCTTGCATTCCAGGCTCCCTAAAGAGTTATTTTTTATATCCTATTTCAAAAACGCCAAGCCATTTTGCCTTTACTCTCTCTATTGTTTCTCCACACTTTGGAGTGACTCATCTCTAGGTCTTCTCCAGAACTTAACTGCTCAACTGAGGATCTGCACAATCCATCCTCCTGATGTAAATTCTGAAAGCTACACACACACAGTTCCTATGTTTTCAATTGCTGCTAAAAATGCATAGAATATGCCCATTTTCATTTGAACTTAGAGGGTTCAAAAGCCCTTTGTATCTAAAAGTTCCATAATCACTATAGATATGGTACAAAGAATGTGTTCCCTCACATTTGGCTAATTTGGAAATTTTTCAAGTGCTAACAGAGTCAGAAATTAGCTCCCTTTATTGAATATCTTTTGTGAATAAATCACTGATATGAATCATGCAGTTTGTGATGCTATATTTTGTGAAAAAAAATTAAATGCTAATATTTTCACCATTTCAGAATGCTCTATGCAAATAGAGATACCAGAGTTCAACCTACCAATCCTGGCAATTTTGTTTGTGTTTGAAAATTATATTGTGTTCTATAAATATTTTTAAATGAATTACTGCACCAAACGAATAGGTCATATTTTAAGTGCAACCCAGACCCATAGGCTAAACAAAGAAGACTTTACAAATAGAGTAAACATTTTTTGTTTGTTTGTTTGAGACAGGGTGTGGCTTTGTTGCCCAGGCTATGATTAGCAGTGACTAATCATAGGTCATTGCAGCCTCAAACTCCTGAGCTCAAAAGATCCTCCCACCTCAGCCACCCAGGCAGCTGAGACTACAGGTGCATACCACCACACCCAGATAACTTTTAAACTTTTTGTAGAGACAGAGGTCTCACTGTGTTGCTCTGGCTGGCCTGGAACTCCTAGCCTCAAGTGATCCTCCCGCCTCAACCTCCAAAGTGCTAGGATTATAGTCGTAAGCCACTGTGTCCAGTCAGAGTAAACATTTTAAAATAGGCAAAAGAATCTAAATTAATTGAAAAATGTAGGAACTTCACATAGCTCCAATCTCAGGGACATATCATGTTTACAGTACAAAAAGTAAACAAAGAGCAACTAAGATCTTTATCCACATAGCCTGGAAACATATTAAGAGGAATCCAGGTTTTATCTCACAGTAACATCGCTTTTAAAAATCCCCTTTCTTAGAACCTCTAGGTAACAGATCACAGGTTCGCTGTGGACTCTCATTCTTTAAACCACCTTCTAAATGCCTGCTTCCTAGTTTTGTCCAAAATCCATTGGCTAACCTGTTCTATCTCCTAATTTCCCTCTTGTTTCACTATGACTCTGTGGTCATATCTCTTTCCTCCCACTCACCCAAATGTGATTCACCAAAGCTCAGGACTAAGGCTGGGAAAGACAAAGCATTGGCTGGTGGGGAGGGCAGGTAGACAAAGACAAAATTTCTCCTTTGAATGGAGATTGTGGAGAAGAATGGGCACGCTCTCATGTTAACAAATCTTATTCTATTGTTTGAAACCAAACATGAAATTGAAAACCAAAATGAAATCTAGTTGCATTCAAGTCTACTTACAAATACAGGGCTTTTTGCTGTTTTGTCCTTTTCTTTTCCACTTTTGCCTGCATCCCACTTTTCTGCATTTACATCACTTTCACTCCATTCTGGCCAGATGGGGAATCTCCCCTTCTTTTGTTCAATAGAACTAGATTGTACATTGCTGCCAAAAGGGTAGAAACTAGAGAGAGACAGAGAAAGAGAGAGAAGGTTAGTTTTAATTAAAATCTCTGAGATAAAATATTGGATTGATTGTGTGACATAAATTTAATTATCTTATGATCAGAGTCATGTTAAATACATTTTTTAATACAGTCATATCTGTGGGCACACAGCTTTCACATGTCTGGGTTCTAAAGACTGAAATGATCCCAAAGAGATTACTTCATCTATCAATTTTGAGCATTAGTTCCTACTTACTAATGTAAGATATTAATAAATAAACACAGTGTTATCAAATATCATAAACACATAAGACTATTTACACATGATTCACACTTAAAGAAAATCCTTTGCACTTATTATAGTAATAGCTTTTGGAATATCAATACAAATTTAATTTTGATTTTTTTCCAGTGTATTATGTGATCATTATTTTAAAAGAAAACCACAAAATACAAATCAATACAATACAATACAAAATACAATAAGAAAAAGCTATCCATCTCACTCTAGACACTACATTTTTTTTCATTATTTAGAGAATACTTTATTAGTTTCTGTAATCAAACCCATGTAGATAAGACCTTACATATTTAATACAGTGCGTTACCCCTGTACAAATGGAAAAAAAAATTAAGTTTAACGTTTCTTAATTAACAGACCAATATGGCTGTTAATTTCTGTACAATGCCAACTCAACACGGTAAACTGGGATACTTTTTCCAAAGTTGACAGCACAGCTAAAGTTTCCAAAAATTCAAGTTATATATATTGTATATATATATATATATTTATATAAAAAGACCAATAATAGCAGTATGTTATACATCAATAGCAGCGACAGCTTTTCCAGGTTCTGCGGTCATCTGAACAATATTATAGAGGTATCAGGACACTCCATAAAAAAAAGGGGAAGAAGAGAGAGGTAAAAAAACAAAACCTCAGAAAACAGCAAAGTTCTGTCACTGTTGTGGTACCTGGCACCATTTGTTTTATTAGCTTCTGAATCATCATCTGGAAAGAAAACATTCTAGAGTAATATCATTAAAAACAGCTCTGATAAAGCACAGTCACTACTATATATCATAAAGCAGGTACAAGATATTTTACATTCACAGAGGTATGATACAGTACTGTCCTGCATCTGTAATACTAGAGGATACAATTAAAAAGGCATTATTTGAGACTTGATTCTACTTTTCCAGCAGAGGGCCCAAAGGATGGTATGACACAGCTCTAAAGAAATGCACCTTCTTAAACAGGATTTCCTTTCATTCACGGCACAGTTCTAGGTATTCACTGCTCTTCATGAACATAAGCAAAAAACTGTTAAAAAAAAAAAAAAAAAGAAAAAGAAAACCGGGGGTAGGGGAAGGAACTATTGGATTCATACAAAGATGACTGAGTGGAGGCAAGCAAGACCCAGCCTAACTAGCATTTTACCAGATCTGTCATGTTTGAATGGTGAGAGCTCCATGGGAAAAAGGAGTCACCAAGTAGCGCTTCAAAGCTGCAGACCGCAACCAAAACACAGCATCATTTCAAACAGAAGCAGTAGCCAAACATTGCTCACTTGGATATGGTTCAAGGATGCTGACATCAATATTTAATCATCTGTGCACTCATCCAGGAAGAAGGGGAAATCAGTTACTACTGTACTTTGATTGTGTTCAACTCAATCACCATGTTACAAAAATAGCAAGCTGCCATAATAAAAAATAAGGCTCCTCTATCCAGCACCAGTTATCTTCAGTTCCTCGCTTCTAAGCCTACAAATGCCACAACCATGTCCAAAGACCATAAGGGAGCAAAGAAACCACATCTGATGTGGTTCATATTTTAGTGGATTCATATTTTAGTGGATTCTTGAAACAAAATAAAGAGCATAAATTAAGTAATATACATAGTATACAGTCATTCATTGCTTAATGATGGGGATATATTCTAAGAAATGCATTGTTATCTGATTTTATTATTCTGTGAACAACAGAAAGTGTACTTACACAAATCTAGATGGTATAGTCTACTACACACCTAGGTTACAGGTTTGGCAAATTGCTCCTAGTCCACAAACCTGTACAGCACTTACTGGACTGAATACTATAGGCAATTGTAACACAATGGTAAGTATTTGTGTATCTAAACATATTTAAACATAGAAAAGGCACAGTAAAAATATAGTATGAGAGATAAAACAAAGTGGCACTTGTATAGGGCACTTACCATGAATGGAGCTTGCAGGACTGGAAGTTGCTCCAGGTGAGTCAGTCAGCAGCTAGTAAGTGAACTGAAGGCCTAGGACATTACTGTACACTAATGTAGACTTTATAAATACTGTGCACTTAGGCTACACTAAATTTATAAAAAAAAATTTCTTTCTTCAATAACAAATTAACTTTATCTTACTAAGTGACCACCTCCGCATATGCAGTTAATTGCTGACCAAAGCATCGTTATATAGTGCATGACTATATTTGAAAGTGAAAAATGTCAAGAGGAAGTATAAAACGGGACAGGGAGATTGAAGAGTTCAGGTATTCAATTTTTACAAATGGAGTTAAGGAAAATGGCTTTAATAAGGTAATATTTAAATAGTGAAGGAAAGTGAGGTGTCAAGCCATGTGACTATCCATGGAAAGAATGCTCCAGATGCAGGAAACAGCAGGCCCCAACAGCAAAGAGTATTCCAGATGCAGATAGCAACCTGCTTAGTTTAAGAATAATACGGAGGTCAGCTGAGCGAAAGGGGAAGTAAAGGAAGATGATCGCAGGGAGGTAATAGGAGATGTGAAGATTGTTGAGACAATCTAAGCCAGGGCAAGGGCGTTGGTCTTTATGTGGGCGAGACAGGATGCCAAAGGAGGGCTTGGAACACAAAACGATGTGACTGAAATTTGATGATCACTCTTGATGCTATGTTGAGAAAAGACCAAAGGAGCCAAGGGAGACAACGTATGTGGCTTCAGAATAACGTGTGAGCGCTAATGGGGACTTTGACTGGGTTGGTAACTGTAGAGAAGGCAAAAAATAATCAGATTCTGTGTATGCTTTCAAGGTAAAGAAAGTAGAGTAGATATTTCTTGATAGACAGAAGACTGCGTGATGAGGCAGGATTGAGGCAGGGGGCATAAAACAGCAGTTCACTGATGAATGAGTTGTGTTTTAGATGTCCAAAATACATCCTCAAGAGGTGTTGAATGGGTAGTTTGATTTAAGATTCTGAAGTGTAGGAGAAGAAAATGGGCTAAAAGTGAAACTTTGAAAGTCGTCGGCATTTAGATGGTATTTAAAGGATCAAATCACCAAGAAAATGACTGCTTGAGAAAGAGGCACTTCCAGGCATGCTATTCAAAATGCCTAACAACTGGTATGCACGGAGCATCAACCAATCTAAATGGAGCCTGACTGTAACGCTGGGTCAGTGTCTTCAAAGCTTCTAGCTAGGCCAGATATTTATTCTTTATTTTTGTTTTGGGGGCAGGGATGTAAAGTCCTCGGGGTAGGTAAGGGACTCAGGGCAAAAGGCAGACATGTCTAGGGCTCAAAGGTATTGGTAAGGTACTTGTAATAAATAAAAAAGTACTTTAATACTCTAATAAGCAATACAACTACATTTATACCCTGGTACTATATGTTTAACGGTTAGACAGATAAAGAAGAAATGATTAATAAAACTGAGAAAAAAGTAGTCATTGAATGTGATAGACAAAATAATCCTCCCCACTCCAAATACATATACATCTTAGTCCCGGAAAACTGTGAACATGTTACCTCCCGTGACCAAAGGGAGTTTGTAAATGGGAGTAAGTATTTTGAGATAGGCAATTATCCTGGATTATCTGGGTGGGCCCAGTGTAACGCACGGGGTCCTTAAAAGTGGAAGAGGGAGACAGAAGAGTTCAGAGGGAAAGGTGACAAATGAAGAATGATTAAAGGCAAACTTGCTGGTTTCGAAAACTGAGAAAGGAGACCACGCACCAAGGAACGTGGGCAGGTTCTAGAAGCTGGAAAAGGCAAGGAATGGGAGTCTATCTTTAGAGCCTACAGAAAGGAAAGCAGCCCTGTTGAAACCTATTGTCAGCTCAGTCCCATGTTGGACTTCGGACCTCGAGAATTCTAAGACAATAAATTTGTGTGGATTTAGGCCACTAAGTTTATGGTATTTTTGCAGCAGCAGCAATAGGAAAATAATACAGTGAGGCAAGACAAACACAGTAGAAGGTGATGTCTTGGAAACCAAGTGAAGCAATCTTCTTCAAAACTGAGGGAATGAGCAATAGGCCCAAATGCAGCTAATAGGTCAAGATGAAATGAAAACAACTAAATGTTGAATTTAGCAACAAGAAGATTAAAGTCTCTCTCGAATATCACCTCTGGGGGGTGAGGGCTGGAGGAAGTGCTTTCCTGAATATTCTATCTATTATAGGAACCCTCACCTCTCTACATCTTTTCATATTGCTTCATTTCTGTAGTATCTGACAACAGTCTCACTAACCCTTTGTCTACATCCCTACTGTGCATCTCCACAGGTAGGATGTGTAAGTTCCACAGGGTCAAGAACATTGGATTTTTTTGTTCATTTTCTCCATCTCCAGCAACTGGACCAGTAGCTGGACAAAGTAGGAAATTTGTCTATCATCTATTTATGTGAAATGAAAGAATGGATGTCTTTATTTTACATTTCTAATAATTCCTAATTGGAACTGTTTCAAACTGTTGTACGTAGGTAGAGATTGACCGGATGCTTACCAATCCTGTTCCTATTTCTTTTGATGTGTGACTAGGTTTACGTGATGGCATCTTGGACAACAGAATGTGGGTAAATAACAGTATTCACCTCCAGGTTCATACAACATCCTGTGAGATACTTCTCACTCTCTTCCTGCTCAGTGTATGGCTAAGTTCTATGAGGACACCTTCCAAAATGGTGACACCTCAAGAGGAAATGAGCCAAGACCCCTTATTTACAACATTCCAAGCTACCACTTGATACCCACCTACCTGTTCAGACTTTGGGAT